AAAATAATTGATTAGCTTTTTTACACATGATTCCGAAAATTTATAAATAGAGTGCTTTACCTATCTTCACAATCAACTATCCAAATTATTTGATTAGATTACCTTGATTTCTACTTTCAGAAAGTATATTTTTTCGTGCTTTCAAAAAAACAATAAGTGAAATCAGTAAAATATTAAGACACCTAAATTCATAGTTGTAATGTAATAATAACACAAAAATTAAGATCAAATCATTTCAACATCACGTTCTGATAGAGCTGAAATATTAAATGACCATGTAAAATATAAAATATATACATGAACAAATTGATTTATAGCTCATTAAAGAAAATTATCTAGAAATATAAATATACCATTATATAGAGCAGGCAGATTTCGTAGATTCTAATCATACAAATTTTATTTAAAGTTGATATGTAAATTTCTCAAAAAAGATCAGTTGAAAGTTAGTAAACACAAAAGCAATCAATTTCATTCATATTAAAAATTACAGAATTCTAGTGGATCAATTTTTTACAAAAAATATTCAATTTGGGGGTTCTAATAAAAAAAATAGTAATTATAAATTATCTAGCCACGTTAACGCCTTTTTAAACATACAAAGTGAGATGTGTAGACTCAGCATCAATATCCATATCAAATTCAGCGGTCACATATGCTAACGTTGCGAACAAACATACTTAATATGTATATAACGAAAATATAACTTGATAAAGATATCTGTAACTGAAAATATGATTTAAGTTAAAAATATGCCTCGATAATCATCTCGAAAGATATCGTCTTGATTCAATAAAATGAAAGCTTTGCCCGTTTATTTGACACTTTCGACGCATTTTCAATAGATAAGTGTTGATTGGTTACGATCTATTTTTTATTAATAGTATACGATATTTTGACCGTACCATCATGACTCCCTCGTTGTTACATAGTTGTTTGATTAAATTTTTTGAATTTTTGCTTTCTATATTCTCAATATCAATATCAAACTCTCGTGAGACATGTCATTTTCAATAGTCACACATGCAAACAAACTCATTTACAGTATCGATGGTTTACTATGATTGAATAATTATGCGTACTTGAGTGGATTTGTTTTTGATTAGTAGGAATTATTTTGCAATTTCATTTCCTCGTCAAGTTCTTTCAATTTCTGTCTCTCGAATACAAGTCTCTTAATTTTTTCATTAAATTTAAAGTGCTGTATTACTGCAAATGCATAGTATTCTATTTCCACACATCTTCATCTGATAGACCTTCCTGATTCTCGGCAGTTTGTCTATTTTCTGGAATAGAGTCCAAAAATTTGCTCCATCCGGGAACATTATTTAGTATCGTAGGTCGTAATTCTTTGTACTGTAGATGACTAATCATGACTTCGTTCACCAAATGAACGTTCACCAGTTGCATAATCTCCCCAAATTTATAAATATCTGCAGCTTTAGTGTATGATTTTCCACTTAATAAACCATTAAGTTTTTCAAGAGAATCATTCTGATTTCATGTATTCTTTTATTAGACTGTTGATAACCTTGTTTGCGCTTGATAATTCAATTTATAAAGTAATAATCAAAACATTCATTGTCCCAATTGTTTCTTGACAATTGTTTCTTGACAATAGTGTATTTATTAAATCATGAATCGTAGGCTTTCTTGCGCATCTCATCTGAATGTATTGTGTCTTATATCATCACATTTGCAGATGTTCAGTACGCAATGTAAAGCTCGTCTATGATGGTTTAAAAATTTTAACTTGACTGACATCTTGACTCAAAAATGAAAACTTTCCCTTCTTCCGACCCATTTTTTAAGAGGCGCTTATTATTTGTTTTATGCTCTTTGTTTTAAAATATTAATACATCATCGTTAAAGAAACATAAAACGAAAATTAGAATTATTAATAATCATCAGTGACAAACTGTAAATTTACCTTTATTTGCTTCGTTTTGAACATATAAGCTCATACATGCATTAAAATTGGCATCGATATCTATATCATATTCAATAGTTACATGTAAACAAGATTTAAAATAAATATTTTAATAAAAAATAACATGCTGTATACAGTAATATTTTACCTTCATTTGGAACATATAAACTAACTAGTAAAACCTAAATGTTTGATATATTTAAAATCAAGAGAAAGTAATATCACGTTCATTAAAAATTCAGTAAAATCAATATCGATATTAAAATGTTTATTTTGCATGAATCAATAGATGTTATTGCCTCAATAAGCGCCAGTTTGTACGTTACAAATGAAGTAAATGAAGATATTAATATTCCTTTTATTAATTTTTAATTCATTACTATTCAAAAACATTAGATGAAATTAAAAAGAATTTAAATGAAAAACTGCAATGTGCTTGTGTTGTCAAATAAATGATCATTTTTAATGAATGTTTTAATTATTACCAATTTTATAAAGCACAATCTAATAAAGAATTAAAGGTCATTTCCAATAATCACTTTTGAAAACTTTATCAATATTGGATTTCTTGCAAAAGACATTTATAAAGTGGTATATGTGTGAAAATAAATTTAAATGATCTAATGACGATGAACGAAGTTGTGTTGGAATCACGTGATTCCAAAGAGGTAAATTTTTAATACTATTTGGACTGTTCTAAAATGCAATGATAATTGCTCTGAAATAAGTAGATGATTGCAAGATAGGTATAAGCGATAACTCAGAAAATTTATAAATTTATAAAAATATAAGAAATTTTATTTTCTAAACCTAGAAATTAGGCGCATTCAATAAAAAACGTACATGTATAAGAAATGGGATGCTACAATAGATGTTTAAATTTCGTTGATTTTTCCAGTTGTCGATTTTGTCCGGATACTTTTGTCAGGGTGGTGTACATGTATAATAATACAGTCATATAGTCATTACCTCCCATAATTACACCCCTAGGAACAGCAAAAAATGTGATTATATGGAGGTCAAATTTCCTATAATTTATAATAACTGGATCAGAAAAGCCTGTGATTGTAAAGAGAGTGTGATTATATAAAGTGTGAGTATGACTGTACTGTGCATAAATTCTCAGTATTGCAATTTGTCAAAAATCCTAGCAAAACTAATAGTGAGACATCTTTATGAATAATATAATTAATACATGTAAATGTAAATTTATACCGATATCTTTTGATTCATTGATCATTATGAAATTGTGTCTTTGATTCAATATTTCCTTTGATATTTTACTTTTATTATCACTCAACATCTCTCTTCTATATTAACTCGAAATTTTTGCTTATTTTATCCTTTTAAATTTATTGGAATAAGAAATTCTCTATAAAAGTTAGATCTTGATAATGACTACTTATTTATACATATACGTACGTATTTTGTAAGTTTTAAAGTTTTTGAATTAAAAATACCTGACGAACCTTCAGAATTCAACATTAAGGTTAAATATATTTTTAACTATGCAATCAAAGTCTCTACATCAGCAGCGAGCGGCGTCATATACATCGGACTCAGTTTTTATCGAAGCCAATTGATGAACAAAATTTCTAATCGATATGTAAAAAACGTCCTGTATTACTAAACCCAGGCCAATGCGGCTTTTACAAAGGCTTTTACCGTATATTTCTGTATATACGCACGTAATACTTTTTTATTATAATATTATAGGTGAATGATGAAGTTACTAACCAAATTATGTTTCATATATTTATGACTTTGCATAATTATTTCGTTATGTATTTTTAATCACATTGCACCCCAATTCGATGGATGTATTTATTAAATTTACATGATATTAAAATTATATACATGTATCTTGTGTTTTGTTACACCTATCCTATCTATTGGGTTTCAAAGATGGACAGGCTTAACAAGCTTGTGGGAGATTAAATTGAAGTTTCTTCAATGTAATAGGATCTCTCTACTGTATTTCTAAAAGTAATTGAGCCAGTAACTACGGTTACAGGTGATTCTTTGGATTATTATAGGGAATTATTTGAAAGGTGCAAATTAGATTACACAATTGAAAAAGGGGGGTTTGTAATTTTATTTTTTAACAATAAATTTCTTAAGGTTGACGCGATTACAGAATCACAATACGTATGTTTTCTTTACGGCTAGACTATCCTACAAGGGGAATCAAATCTACCACAACTTTCTTTTGGTAAAAGTGACAAAGCCCGAAGTCAATAATACAAGCAAGAGGTAATTCTGTTTCAAATACTTTGTACTTTTATTATAATTTCGCTTGATTAAAGGCTCAAGAGAGTCTATATATGAATTATTGATACATGTTTTAATATATGTTTAAGTCTATGTGCAAAAGGCTAGACTAAAAATTATTCTTTTTCTTAGAAATGTCTAAATACTGTATCAAATGGTCAAAATAACGTGCCAAATGATCAGATTACTGTCAAATTAATGTTCCAAACAATATGCTATGATCATTAAATGTGCAGTTGATATAGTGAAATTGTTAAAGTTCTATTATAAAAAAATAAAAAAAAAATATTAAAGAATTTCTAATAAATCCAATTTCACTAATTATTTTATAATTGTTATTATTATTAATATATATTTTTTTTTATTATTCTTTCGTTATTCCACGGAAAACTACGGGTTCCAGCCGCAATTAAAGAAATTTAATGTTAACGGTTAACAGTATCCGAAGAGATAAATTAAAACAATATGCGGTAAAATCTTTTTTGCAGCAACTAAATGTCAATATAGCTGAAACATTACTTGAAGAAAAAAAACGAAAGTTGTTATGATCATTCGAAAACAGTGCAGTGCTATCATTATCAGTTCTTTGTATCGTTAAAATCATATATCAAAATATCTTCAACCATATATATATAGATATATATGCTAATGAATTATGAGTTAAACACTTCTTTCAATGAGAATCTTTTATTATGCATAAAATTTGAAAAAATTAAAATAGGCAATTAAGTTATACAAATTCATGATAAAAAAATTTTTATCAGTACACAATTTCAATGCATGTAAGTGACTATATTTGCTATGGAGGCGGAAGAGGTAAAGTGGGAGATTCAACCTCTGAACCGGGAGAAAAATAAAAAATTCCTGAGTAGGGAGGGGGAAGAGGCAAAGTGGGAGATTCAACCTCTGAACCGGGAGGAAGAAAAATGGGAGAAAAGTCGCCGCCAATTCCTGGGCTGCTGCCAATGAACACTGGACTATAAAAATATGAAATTTGTAAGATAAAGAGTTTTTTAAATTTAATCTAAACCTGAATAATACTTCATAATTAAGTTATATATGTCTTTTTACCTTCTTTTAATTGGCAACGGAGTAACAACAAAATTATTGCATATTAAGATGAAATAAAGAGCGAAGTATTTAGAGAGCATTTTTTAACTAAGATTTTAGACAATATCCAATGAAGGGATTTAAAGTTTTGTAGTTCAAATCTTACAATTAGAAAAATTTCTTGTGTCTGTTATATACATGTAGAATGATTTAGCATATCGATATTGTGTGACGATACGAGAGTCTTTGTTCTCTCATAGATTGTATACAATTTATGCATCCGCATTCGACATTAAACATACGTTTTTCAATTTTAGATACCCTCTATGAAAATTGACTTTTTTATTACATGTCGATATATCAATAATTCTTTTTTGTGATATCGATATCCTCTATGAAATTACCTTTTTATACGATACTAATTGACGTTAGATTATTTTCGTTATATCGATAAAGATAATTCGTTTTTTAACTAGTTATCCTCGTTGATACATTTTATTATCGTTCGTTATGTGTATATTAATTATTCGAGAGATTACTATTTAATTCTCACATACCCCGTAATTGTGGTCTCGTTTGTTTTCTATCATGTCAAGCAATTCGCATTTATATAAGTGAACTCAAAAATGAACCAAATTGTAATAAATCTATTGATTGTCAAAAAAATAGATGCGATGAATGTTTAGTTCACAATACTCATGATTATAGTAGCAGTGATTGACTAAATGTCAAAAAAATGAGTACTGCGTTGATTGTTTAAAACAAATTTATAACAATGCATTGTCTAACGGAGTTAAAGAAATAGATTATCTAATAAAAGAATTCAAAAAGCATTTAATGTTAGATTATTCGAATGGATTCTTTTTGAAAGATTTACCAACATTGACTATCGTGCAAAAGGTCAATTTATAAGGTAGCATTTAATGAGATATAGATAAATTTGTTCATGCACAAATTTTAGTCATTTAATATTTCAGACCTATCAGAACATGGTGTTGAGATGGTTTGATCTTAATTTTGTGTTTTTATTACATTACCAACTATGAATTTAGGTGTCTTAATATTTTTACTGATTTCACTTGTTGTTTTTTGAAAGCATGAAAAAATCAAGGTGGATCTAATAAAAAAAGATCAAATAATTTGGATAATTGATTGTGAAGATAGTTAAAACCCCCTGTTTTAATTAAATTCGCAAATAATTGATCACATACTGTAAATAAAGATATAAAAATTTTTATTTTTTGAAACTAAAATTCAATAAAAGAAGTATAACATAATAAAATTGGATGCATGTGCATGGGTGTTTTGCAATCAATGTTTAAAGTTCATTGATTTTCCAGTTGCTGGATGCTTTTGTTTGGTGGTGCATATTTTAAAATGTATCTATGTGTTTTGATTGTTGTTTTATCATATCATCATGCGTTTTATAAAAAAATCACAAATAAAAAGTTAAAACAGTGATATATGATAAAAAGCAAAGAATGATATGATAACAAGGATTACTATTAAATATTTTATTCATTTATTTTTGTTCAATAAACTATGTATATATTAATTATATGAATAAAGTAACTATGTATATATTAATTATATGAATAAAGTAAATAGAATATTACATTTGTTTCGTTATTATATGTTAAAGGTAGCTAACTTTAATAAACATAAAAGTGATTGATGAAAAACACAAATGAATGTAATTTCACCTTCATTTTGAACATACAGGCTGAAACTTATAGAACCTAAATATTTGAAATATTAATTCAACCTAAACTATCATTTTAATTGAATATAAAAATAATATTCGAACTCGAATCATTAATTTTGCAGCAAAGATTCGACTAATGTAAATGGCATTTTTATGAATTTGTTGTTTTTTGATTTTATTCGTAGGTACTGCTGTTTAGTGATTTCATCTCCTCATTAACTTTTTTAAGACATTTCTTCAATTTTTTCATTCGTTAAGATATTCTAAAGAAATGTAATAATGAAAATTATTCAATTTCCAATAATAAACATCATAGATAGAACTGATAAAAGTGTTGAGGTTCCTCAGCAGTTGATCTGTTTTCTTGAATATGATCCTAAAATTTTTCAATACCAAATTTGTACCATCCGGTAATATTATTTGGTATTGTAGGTCGTACTCTTTTATAGATGTCTAATACGATATATATCATCATGACCCCGTTCATCAAATAGTCGTTAACCTGTTACAATTTTTACACAACCATCCAAAACTATAAATATCTGTTGCTTGAGTGTATGGTTTTCCAATTAGTACCTCTGAGCTCATATAAGGAAATATTCCGCAAATTTCTTGTTTAGATTTTCGATATTTGTTGGAATGTTAAGTCCCAAAATCAACCTTTTGAGGAGTATTTTTATCCATATAATATATTTCCAGGATATAAACACGATGTTTTTAATTTCTCTATGGTTGCAAAATCAAAGTTATATAACTTAAATTTGATCCCAAGTAAATTTTTCGTTGTTGGAATTACATGCTTTTGCATAATCCATCACTATTGAATATTCATTTTGTAACAGGGTTTAATTACCCCGCAATAATTAATAGCAATTTGAATTTATTTTGAAAACTTGATTGTATTAGGATTCAAAAGTAATCCGCTATCGTTATAGATTCGTTTATGATATTTGAAATATAGAACGCTGTATTTATTTTTTTGACAATCGATACATTTATTACAACCATGAGGATTGTGAATTAACACCCACCTATTCTCTTGACAATCAGTACATTCATTACAATGATAAATATTCAATTCCATCTTTGGGTTTACTTATAAAATGCGTTATTATCGATATATGAACATGAAGTGCTTAAAATGATATTTAATGATGGTAAAATAAACGAGATAATGATGTCGTTATACTGTGGCTATAGTAACGTTCAATTCCGTAATTCTTTAATTTTTCCCTTAAAATTCTTTAGGCAAAACTATTGTTACCAAAATAACCATAAATTCCGTAATTCCTTAATTCCTGAAGATTTCGAATAGATTTAGAATAGTCTACATTTAACTCTACATTATTACAAAGTGATCAATAATCATTTAATAAAATAATTCGTAACAATTGATAACTAACATTCGTGGGAATCGATAATTAATAACCATGTGTCAATATCCTTTAATGATACGGTTATCGTAATAGTCGTCTTTTACTATAGTAAATAATTGAACGACTCATTCTATAATTTTTATATCATTGTTACACTCCAATAATAATTTTGAAAATCGTAATTAACATCTCGTTTATGAATTTTTCTCTTTTTTTCGCTTATCTTTATTATCATTATGACCTTTCTCAAAGTCGAAAAGTCAAAAGGAACAACCTAATACCATCCTAAAAATAGTCTCAGAACCTCAATCACTCAATTAACATACATAAATACTGTATTTGCTTCTAAAGTAATTTTTGTAAAATAATTAAATGTATATAAAGGCGAGTTCTTGGCCTACCAGCAAGAACAAGAACAATTTTAAAAAAATTAATAATAATTCATATACATACCTTTATTATTACTCGTACTTGCGTACAATTAGCTTTTATTCCTTTTGAGTATAAACTTGATAAGTGGAAAGAACTCCAATCTAAACAAACCATAATTTACCTTGATTGTTTTGTTTGGTTGGCATTAGTAAGTACAACCGTTGATTTTGCTTCGTGCCGTATTGGAATTTGCTTTGTGCCTAATTCTTTGTGTTGATCAGTTTGTTGGCCGCGTCAACAAGTCAAACTTCTTCTTGTGTTGGAAGTAAACAGAAACTACCCGGACTCCTCCGGAATCTCGTGAACTAATTAAGTATACCCCAAGCATCCCTTTAAAAGAAAACATCCTTCTGTCTGCATCATTTAATCATTTAGGCTGTGGTTCTCGAAAGAACTACCACAAGAAACCTTTAGGAAGAATTGGGGAATCCCTCTTTCATTCGGAGGCCCTACCCTTGTATTGCGCCTAACTTTCAACACTTTAGAGAAAGACGTAACATTATCGCTACCATTTCTGGAACAATTAACGCTTTATAATTAATTGTAATACGTAATTATAGCAATAATTGACATCGAAACTAATGCAACCGTAATAATTAAATACATGTTCATGTGTAATTACATGCACCATAATTTTTGGATTATGACTATCGATTTTCAATTAATTTCTTAAGAAACATACATTTTTGATAGTGTTTAGCATCTTAAATCGATGCTTCTTGAGATTCATGTCCTTGTTCTCCTAATACTCCTTTATTTACCTCGTTTGTATCATCTTTAATCTTATTACTCAGAAACTATAGTTTTGGTGTAGAATAAAATAGCATAAATTGTATAAAAAGCAGATGGTATGGGAGGCTCTAATCAAACAAAAAAAAAATACTTTACCTGCAATAATTTCTTTATTTGTGATATCTTTTTATTTGATCTTTAAACCAGTGAATCTTCACACTAAATAATCTATAATTCGAATTTGATTTTGTTGAAAGAAACTAAGTCCAGCCTGTGACGTTGCGTATTGTAACTTTGGTTAGCTGAAAACTACCTGGAATGTTGCTCTCGAAGTAACTTTAGTAGTACGCGTTATTTTATTGTAGGTGACCAGAAACTTTCTTGGAAACCTTTGTTATTTAGTGTAGACTCTTTTTGTTGCTGGTTATTAGAAGCCTCCTTGACGTCTCATCGAAACTAAATATTGGCATTTTTAAAAGGTTTATTTGAGTACAAATCATAGAAACTTTAGAAAAATAAAGAAACTCTTTGATTGTAAATTGTTTATTTGCTTTTGCGCTTACCTTGTCGCACTCGCCCACTAATTTCGCCAATTCCCCAAGAATGCGCAACAATACAATCACGTACGTACTTATGTTTATAAAGCACGTGCAAATCTAATGGGAATATGTTCATCATTGGATTTTGAAATACATGTATTAGGTTGCAAGATAATAGATCTATTTTTGGGATTTCCGGTAAAGTTTGTATCATTAACTTCAATTTGGAATTATAAACATAATGCCGATGCATTCGCGTTATTTCCATTTCGATTACATATGTCGAGAAGGTTTTTTTTCTTGCTGAATATTGTTAG